TAGTGACGGAAATCCATTTCAGATTACCTTACTAAATTTATTTGTTTTTGGGTTCAGGGGTATTTTTGTCATTTTATTATTTTTTATTTTTTGATCTTTTAATTTTTTTTTTTTTACAATTCTTCTTCTTATACTTCCTAACTTCTATACACTGGTAGTATAATTCTAAATTTAAAAAATTTATTTTCCTTTTGTATTTTAACTTCTAGATTATAAAATTTTTTAAAAAAATTTAAGAAATGAAGAAGAAAAATTCGAGTTAAAGTAAACATGAAAATTAATAATTTACCATTTTAAACAAAAATAAAATCTAAAAAAATTAACTAACACAAGTTGTTTCTTCTAGGTTATTTAATTTTTTTCAACTCGATTGAATTATTTAATTATTAATTTTCACGTTCCTTTTTTTTTTTTAAATAATTTACAAGTTAAAGGTTGATGACTTGTTTTGTGGTTCACTCTTAAATAAAACATCGTTGTTTCACAAATGAAGCATGTGCGTTTGGATCACATGTTCAGTATATCTTTTTGGTGTCTTTTCTGTTAGAAAGAAAAAAAATATTTTGGAAATATACTAAGATATATTGAGATGGGAAATTTAATAATATTTAATTATGAAAAAACCAACAAAACATAGAAATATGCATACACAAACTAGTTCTAGCTAGCCTTATCAAAAAAATAAAAATAAAAATATAAAAATAAAAACTAGTTCTAGCAAACGAAATATTCTAACAAGTTGACACATTTTCCTATTAAAAAGTTGATTTGAGTTCATATAGTCATTTCATATTGATGTATGACAGTTAACCAAGTGAACGGCCACAAAAAAAAAAGAAAAGAGAAATAATTCTAGAGTCTAGTCTTGCTAACAGAGTTAACAAATCAATATCCATAATATTCACGTTTACCGATTTAATCATTCATATTTGAAAAGGAGTGGAAAAGAAACCGGGAAATAAAAAAGTTTTGAAGTTCTGATCGAATTAACGAAATGATGATAACTTTTTAAATTAGCTAGCTTCACCATTTTTTCAAGGCAGTCATTTCAAAATCCGAATAAGGTTCAGAACAGTAGTGAAGTATTACTAACACATTTACGTATTCCTAAAACACACATCAGTGTGCCCCGCATTAATTTCAAGCATCAATCACATTCTATAGAATCTTCAAAAATGACAATTCTCAATTCTATAATTAGTTCATGAATTTGTCATTTTTTCCATGAATTGTTTTTTTATTAGTTATAAAAAAATGAAATAATTCGTTGATAAAATCCATCACCCCTCTCCCCCCCCCCCTCCCAAAAAAAAATAGAAGTCTTTGATTGGTTATAATAATGTCTCTTATAACACAAACACTAAGAAGTTTAAATTTTGATCGATTAGATACATTTCTAAAGTATTCTAATGAAAATTATCTATTTATACAAATAAACATATGATAATAATTTTGGTCTTAATCCCCTAATTATTTTATAGGGGAACAGAGGAATGGGGGAGAAATTACTTCGGAGAGAAAGTATACAGAGAAATGAAGAAGACATGTAAAATTATTTTAGTGAACGAATGAATTCCTCCTATTCCTATTCTAATACAAACAATAGAAAAGGGGTACTTTTGTAATTGGATGATTAGTTTAGCACTTAGAGTAATTGCTATTATAATATTTGTAATACCCAAAATAGAGTACCAACGAAATGAGCCAACGTTGAAAATCTTTTTGCTTGCTTGCTCCCTGAACCTTTTTCTTCACCTTCTTCTTCACTTTCAATTCTATTTTGCTGACCCCTGAGTTTCTCTAAACTCCAACCTCACTCGCTAAGGAGGGATGGATCCCACAATACCGCGTTTTTGGGTAATTGTAAATAGCAAATATGTGGCTGCGTTAGTGCATATCAATCTTTTGTATAGATCATTTTAAGTGTTGTTTTGCTTCAACAAACTGTTTAAGGGAAATTGTAGAGAAACTTTTGTAGAATGCAACGAAAATGAATTGGTTTGTTTTAACTTTAAATTTGAAGTTTTGAATATTTATGGTGAACTGCAGAAGTGGTCAGAGGCCGATTTACAATGGGGATACCGGGGGTACGTGTTCCCACTGAAATTCATGAATAGTAAATATAACATGTAGTTTTAAAAAATTCTAAAAATTAATCCACTTATTTTTTAATTAAATCTTTTTAGATGATATCTTGTATTTTGCTATTCACATAAATTTTTATCACTTTAAGTTATTACTATGTGTCACTTATTGTTTAAATAGAGTATCAATATTTACAAATATATTTATCCATTTGATGATGATATGTTATCTTGATGATTTAAAATTGTACCTAAATATATATAACTTATATTAATCATGTACAATTCACGTGCAAATCAAGTGTAAATTTGTGCAAATCATGTGTATATGTTTAGTTATAAAGTTATCGAAAAATTGATTGATTGATATATGCTAGTCTCGTGTCCTTACTAAAAAATATTTCTGGCTCCGCCATTGAGTATTAGTGTTGTAATAAAATGCTCCATCCAGATTAATCAATGGTTTTAGGACGAAAAATATATATTTAGATTGAGAATTAGTGATGGGTGAATATAATACGACATTTCAAATGGAAAAGCACATGACCGATGAGATGAAACCTTAAACAAAACATATTTTTTTGTGATGTACTCCCTCCGTTCTAAAATAAGTGTCATTCTAGAGTTTGCACATAATTTAAGAAAACATTAAATAAGGTAGCTAAATTACTAGAATATCATCAACCAACCCCATTAAAATAAATGCTCACCAATAATATTATTTCTTTTGAGGGTATGTTTGGAAATTTTTGACAAAAAATGCATTGGAATATGAAAACGACACTTATTTTAGAATTTTTCTATTTTGCTAAAACGACATTTATTTTGGAATGGAGGGAGTAGTAATTAATTAAAGATATGGTCCTGTTACACTGTAGCATATGATTCCAAAGTCCTCATCATTGCTCAAACACCAAAGTTGCTAATTCCTAGTAGAAATCTGGTAAGTAACCAATTAGCCCACCATAGGTCACAAACTAAGGACAAATCCCTCCCAATGCGGATGACTCGAATTTTTAAGATGGCCAGGTTAACTGTTTCACCATTAACGTTAAACGATTTTTTCGTAGGTTGAGGGGAATCACTTTTGACTTAAAACAGATTCTGTAACAAGTTCAGTAGATCCTTCCAGAGTGAAAACACTTTATAACCTCACTTTTTGATGATTTACTTTGTCAAATTGTTGTTTACAGCTTAATAAAATAGACTATTTATATGTGATCCGCGTAAAGTCACATTATCAACTATACGGTTAGCATATACGACAATAATGACTTAACTAAATTCAGGGTCCTTTGAATTTCATAAAAATGGCATTTCCTACTCCTAGCCTGTGTTGTTGGTCTTATGCATGCACAAGAATCAATCAAGTTTCCCGATTCCGGAGGAAAAATATATAGCACAAGTAAAACAAAGGCAAACAGAATACAGTATATAGTCTTAAAATCCTTAGTCTCATTCTCATGCATGCATTGGAATCAAACAGGCCTCACCCAGTCACCAAGGAAAAGGAACTAGAAAAACCTAGGCAGACAGAATATATCTTCAAAAGGGCAAATTGAAAAACAAAGGCAAACAGAATATAATCTAATCACAGCCATATTTTTCAGACCTTATTTATGAATTCTTTGGTGTTTTCCGCTGCTCTGCGTTGGGATCGGAAAAGAAGAGGTGTGGGTAGCTGCAGCGACAGGTATAGGTAATTCAGAACAATATACCAAGAATCAAATCTTCTCAGCTTTATTTGTGAGTTCAGCATCTCATTTCTCTCGCTTTCCACTTTTAAGTGAAGTTGAGAAAAAGTGCAAGGAGCTCAAAAGTAATGAAGTAATGTCTTGATCAAATATTGGTAATGAGAAAAAATTTACATGGAGTTCCTTACACAGGAAATGACAGCAATCACATTAACATTTAAGGCCCTAGCAGCATTTTTCAACCGCTCACTGCATAAGTACACCGACTTGGCTTCGTTGGCAATGCCAACAACTGAAATCCAATGTCCACAGAAGCATATATAAATGAACGAATATCTACCAATTATTGCAAAGGAAGCGCTTAGTGCAGAGCCTAAGTCACATTCACCAATGATAACCCAATGCAAAGATACATTACCATCAATCAGCCCCTCAACGACCATTTGATAGAAATGCAGGAATCATCAAGTTCCATTAAACTTGAATTTCAAATGTTTGAGAAAGCATACATAGAGAAAACTACTGATCTTGAATCTAGGTGCTTGTCATGGCATTACTATTCCTTCCAACACGCGACAAGGGAAAGAGAATAGAAATTATTCTCAGTAAAAGCTTCCAGACTCCTGGAAAATTGACACTTTCTCAGAATCAGTAGCCTAGCCCTTTTTCCACCCTTTAAATACATTGATAAGTTTATAGATATGGTTGGAATCTATGCAAGAACAAAACAGGCAGGCATCAAATCCTCCCATGTCGTCATCAAAAATGTTTCTCTCCTGTTCCTGAAATTGCCAACAACACATTTCAGCATCACATTCTGGAGGAAAGATGATAATGTTACAAACGCAAAGCACTAGGTGACCATTTGATATCACCAAAACACGCGACCAACAAGGTTTTCCAACACTTAAATTTTGAAGCAATGACCTATTGACCTTACAAGGGGATTGTCCATTTACATTTTTTATTGAATCTTCCCTTCTATATATATGTTTTTACAGAAATTTCTAAGCAGATGCAACATAATTGTATTATCAGGTTGCAGAATTTTCTCTGAAAAAGTTAACTTGGTGATGCATAGTTTTTATAATTAAGATTCATTTTTTTTTCCCCTTGTTATCATCTCCTCGAGTGTACTAATCAATTTAATGAATTTATCATCCCTTCTAATCAACTGAAATATTACAATTTCAAGCAAACATTAGCAGCCGATTCTCTGTGATCAGAAACAAGACAACAAAAGAATGGAAATTGACATTACCCCTTTGATCATTGGAGTCCTAAGGTCATCATAGGCATCACTGCTTTTGGGAGCGAAACCAACTTGTGGCTTTATCTGTTCCAAGATGCACTGCTCACCGGCTCTGGTTTTCTTCTCAGTCTCACTTAGCTGCAAGCATGGTGAAGATTGATCGACAAAACCACCCCCCTTCAGTGGTTGAGGGAAACTCCACTGTAAACCCTTAGTATTATTTGAGGCACCAATCAAAGGGTTATTCGAGTTAATCGATGAAGGCCTGGTGTCTGCAAAGGAAGCAGCAGCGCCAAGTATGCTTGAGTCATCCAAAGAACTGAAGTCCCCAAAACGATTAACGTTTTTGTTCCGTTGGAACTGATCAAACCCCATTAAAAAAGGAACTCCTTGAAACACAGTTGCACTTTGACTTGCTGGAGAGACCGCTTCATGCAAATTCCCAGGAGTACTGCTGGGATTGCTTAAGTTTTGACTTGGCTGAACAATTGTAGATGAAACAATGTTATGAAGGTTGATGCCCCCAGGGCTATTTAGTCTGCCAGCCAAGCACACCAACGGGTGTGTACGGTAAAAAAGTAGTAGCGATCCCAGCTGATCCAATCAGTGCATGAAAATTTCCTGGCCCATCCAGTCTATTCAATCTCATATAAGCAGCTTCTCTTCCTCCCAATGCAGAAGCAATGTTGGCTTGCTGCATTGCAGCTGTACGTAACCTTTTCAAGTAAAGTCTGTACTTGTGCAAGAATGCAAGAAAGAGCATCATTACCTTAATCATGAAAAAGAGGTTTTTTGGAAAACAAATGTTTCGATGAAACGTTTTTGAATAAAGAAACTGGGGATGTAAATAATCTGGAATCAACAACCCTTCAGGTTTCCTAAGCATAAGATGTTACCAACAAGAAATACTTGGTTACTTAGTTGTCCAGAGAGAGTATGAAGGATCCGTTTGGTACAACGCCCAAATCACATGACTTTTCTAATTTTCTGCATCTTGCTAAATTTCCTATCACTCTGACATCATTATGAATGGATTTGCTACACTACTTCTAGAGCCAAGATACAAACCTGGAGATGGCTTTCTACATTTTCCCAGGTAAGGCCTTCAACATTCATCAGCTCAAGGACTTTTTTGGGAACAGCTTCTGGATCACAGAGATGGAAAGATAAGAAACATGAGAAAATCCTCCTATAAGTACTAAGATGGCAGTTGAATTGATACTTGAGTACTCACTGTCTACGCCCAGCTGATTAACTGCCCCAATGAATTCCTTGTGCAGCTCAATGGTCCAAATAATCCTGGTCTTCTTCTGTGTTGCTGGATCATCATCTACATTTCCAGTCTCTTCATCCTGATCCTCTTCATTCTGCCTCTTCTTGTTGAGTTTTCCACACTTATCTCCAGCACCAGCCTGCGAAGCCTCCAGCAGACTTCACATTGAAGAGACTTTGTCTTGAAGACTAGACTTGCTTGGTTGCTTGGAATTAAACTTTCTTCTCCTGATAACATGTTGCCAAATATTTCTCAATTCTTCAATGCGAACAGGTTTCACCAGATAATCGCAAGCTCCATGATGAAACCCTTTCATTACAAGCTTCGGAGCGCTATTTGCTGACAACACTGATGCAATAAAACACATTTAAATACATTTCTAATGAGCTAAAAGTAAGGCATTCTGTAAGACAACGAATAAACCAAACCTCACATTCTAAGGTGAACAAAAAAGGCTGTACATTTGGCAATACCAAGCACTATTAATTTCGTCAATGAAATAATTCACATAAGAAAATTCTTTTGGTGAAAATGATAAAGTAGTCATGCTTACTGATGACAGGAAGATCCATTCCGGTTGCAATAAGCTCCAAGAGTTTAAAGCCATCCATATCCGGCATATGGACATCGCTGATGATCAGGTCAAATCGTTCTCTATTTTCCTTCAGCATCTCCAAAGCCATTCTAGCTTGCTCGCAGTTAACTGTAAGAGTCCATCACTAGAAGGATGCTAACTGACTTACTCAAAGAACCATCAGATCCTAAACTCGTTAACATCCGACAACATACACTGTACAGCCCAAACAACCAAAATATTGCTCCATCCTCCTATTTAAAAGCACATATTCAACTTACCTTTAGTTCCAATTTGTACCTTATGAATACTGAATGACAATAGTCCTGATTTGATTCAAGTTTACGCGAAAGGCAGGGGAAAGGGAACACAGAAAGTGAGGAGACTATGGATTTGCATATTATAACCTTCAGAATGTCAAACGACTACAAAATGAAAAACAGTAACAAAGTATTATGAAGAAAATCCAAGAACAATTCATATGATACTGCACATGAAACACAGTATACTCATATATACCAATTGTGGCGACCCATGTGTCCAGCTCAACAAAATATCGTGCTTGATGACAAGTTGAGCCGCCCGCCGGACGATCTCTCGCCCAAGGCTTTGTGGAACAGCACTAATTAGTCTATTAAATGTTCAAACTCCTGAATTTTCATAGTAGAAGCCTTATTTACAATAAAAATGTTTCCAAACTTTAATACAAATTCGGAAATTCAAATAAGCTCTAGATTAAAGAAAAGCCAAATACTTCTCTTCGCAATCAATTCATTTTATTCTTTTCCTTACTCAGCTAGCCTGCTAACCTGTGAGGAAAAATAATGGGATGAGCTTTAAAGCCCAGTGAATACCTCAAACAACAACTCTCAGTTTCTCACACTCCATATGGTAATCAAGTCACATGCACATGCAGTTATTCACACAGTTCATTTTCATCCATCATTTTCATTTATTAACATTGTCTATAAAGTTCTATCAATATAACTGTTAGACTAACATTATCTACGCATTGAATTGCATTTGAAAAAGAAACATTCAATCACATTAGCATGAAAAAGAAATATTCAGTCACATTAGCACATAAAAGATGACCATATCCAAGGCCATTGACATATTCTCATGAGAATACGAGTGGATCTTAACTGGAGATTGCCGAAGACCTATGTGGCCTTTTGGGTTGTCTTCCAAGTTAGATTCCCAATTGGTGTTCAAGTTACAATTCAAATCCAATAACAATAACCCGTCACTCCAAGTGGCCACAACAGTCAAGTACTCGTAGCTCGTGCACGCCTACTAAAGCTATCCATAGTCTATCCATACGTCTGTGCCCAATGCCGACCCGTTGGATTCGATCTATGGTAGCGGGGCCCCGATACTGGTGTGATAATGTACACATCCAAGTCTCAACAATTTCATGGCAATTCATGCACAAATATTCTTTCACAGGACAAGTCGTCTCAATCATTTATATCTCGGAGTGATAAAGTACACAACCTAGTAACAAACAATTCAATTCAATTGGCACGCAGCCAAACAGTGACAAGATATTCACATATCAAGAAGTTCAAATATTAACACCAAGCTTGCAATTCATTCAAAAATACATAGACAAATAATAGCAATACAATCACGTATCACAGGTTCATGTAGTAGCTCAAAGCTCGCACTTCGATCAAGTAAAACCACATAAGCACTCAACAGTCATGCACTGAGAGGGGGAGACAAGGTTACAATATAGAGCGTGAGAGGAGGTACGCACCTTTTAGGCTTATGAAGTTCGATGACATTATCTTGAGGATCTGTTAATCAAACAAATGTTTACGGATCATTGTCCAATGCTAAAAGAAGTGGCAAATGGTCCTATTATGTGTTTCCTTGTTTCTTAAATTTCACTACGTGTTTGCTAAATCTTGGCTAGACCTTTCTAACAAATAAGAATTTTTTCTTATCATGTTGGAAGGTAGTAGGTAACTTAAAGATATTTAGAGAGTAAAATGATAGCCTTTTAGTATATAAATTTTAGCAAAAAGCGGAAGTTCTAAACATCAATTCTCCTAATGCCTTTTTACAAGAATTAAGATGTCCTTTTTCCTAATCCAAGAGTTCTAATATGAACTCTGATGGACAAGAGTAAAAGCAAAGGGCATAAAGAAAAAAAAATGATCGAGGAAAACCATAGTCCTAACTCAGCTATTCCAAATCAAAAGTTCAGAATATCCAACAAAAGAGTGGTAACGGGGCTATATTCAAAACACGGATTTGACCAAACCAACTATCCGATTCACGAGCTGTCAAAACCATTATAATCCAGATAAACAAGGAATATTTTTAACCAAAGAAATCAAGAAAAACAGTTCAGGCTCAGAAGAAAAATGATTTGTAAATCAACACCTTAAATCAGTTTGTTTAAGAAATTCCAGACTTGGTTTTGCAAGTTCAAACCTGATTTTTAGACAATCCGTAAAACCAATTTGAAATCCAAAAATCCTGGAATAAACTTCCACGTTCGTAGAAGACATTTTCAAAAAGAAGTTCTTTAAAACAGTTTAAGAGAAGGGAGAAACGAATCTCCGAAAACAGCAACTCAGCACAGATTTTCAGGAAATGCTTGTTATGTTCAAATCAAAATTTTGGTTGATCTACAAATCCGTTTTGAAATCCGTAAAAACCACAGCAAAGTATACTGAATGAAGAACAATTTCACAAAAAGAAAATCCGAAAAAGAGTTTAATACCTAAGAGAAAAAGACTTGATAACCGAAGGATTCAATTCTGAATTTTCTACATTTTTCAGCAACAAAATGCCATGTTCAAATTAGATTTTTTGGACAAACTAGGAGTTTGTTTTATGATCCGCAAAATCCGTAATAAACTTTAATGGACATATAAGAGATCCTCAAAAAGGAATATCCAAAAACAATTCATGAAATGGGAGAAACAGGTCCCCGAAGACAGCAGCTGTAGATATGTTACAGGAATTTTGCAAAGTAGACATGTCATATAGAAAATGAGTTTTCGGCTAGACCACAACTCCTTTTTGCAATCCGTAACAACTGAGTTATACTTCACTGGATAAACAAGATACTCATGGAAAGAAATCCCAGAAAAGAGTTTAAGAGCTAAGAGAAAAAGGCCCGACATCAGACAGTATCAAATCTGATTCCATTACATTTCCGGCAAATAATCAACATATATAACTTGTTTCAACTAGAAATTTGGAAGATCCATATAGGTTATTAACAAACCACTAAATGAGCAATAAACTTTGAAGTATAGAGAACAAAAGTAGTTAGAATTTGGACAGAATTCTCCACAAAACCATGAAAACCGAAGTCTATAAGGTTGGCCAGCGAATCTGAAAATTCCCCTTTATTCTTACAAAATAATTACCTCTAGTTCCAATTTCTGGATACATTCATTGACGTCCAAGCTACTGCTAAACTTCAAATTGGTTACTAAATTAGTTTAAGGGCATAACAAACATTCTTTACCATCTATTCATGGCATGCAATGTATGAATCTAAAGAGTTAGCCAAATTACGACTCTCCTAGTTCACCAAACAATATTACAAAACTAGGGATTGACAGCCAAATTCTTAGAATCCTTACCTCTTATGGCTGCAAATACATGGACCTATTGCATCCATGTTGCTGCTACTCATAAGCCGAACCGAATTGACTTCAAGGATCCTTACTTCTTTTCCCCATATTTCTATCTCCCTCTCTTGGCCTCTTCCTCTTCTCCCCAACAATCACCTTCCTCTTTCTTTCAATCCTTGCTTCCCTTATTATGCTAAACTAGAGTGAATAGAAACTATGGCAAGACAAGGGAGCTATTGATGGTTGCAGTTCGGCAGTGGAAGCAGTGAACTTCGGGAGGTGGATTTAGGCTGAAATGAAGGTGGAGGAACAGTGAG